TCCTGTTTTCGCCAGCTCCCGATTTCCGTGGCGCTTGTTCCTGCGAGGAGTGTCGTTCTAAAATCGAACAGCTCACAGATTTTGAGACCGACATTAAGTCTAAGAAAGATCTTGTCATGGTAAGTAGATTACCAATTAGCGAGTTTCAACAATTTTTAATTTCGTCGTCCCTTTTTTATTCTTTTGGTAATTATTTTCTGTGGATTTTCGAATAGGAGTTTGATAAAAAGCTTGACAGAGACGATACAGTCTGTACTTCCCTTTCTACCACGGCTAAGTGGTCGAGAATTCTGTTGGATTCGCTCTTCAGGCACCTCAAGGAAGTATACGAGGTAGTAATTGATGTAATTGTTGTCACCCCGTTTATTCACTTTCTTGTTAATATTAACATTTTTTCTTGAATTGAAAATTGTTTCAGAAGTTGGGGGTTCCATTTACCCTACACTCAGATAATAAATTTGGAGATATTGCTGTCCGGATACATAAAAAGCTGATAGACTATCATTTGCTAGACGAAACTGAAGAGGTTGAGCCTGACGACAAATTCTTACTTTCCCCTATTTCTGATAAAATGCCACATTTGGTAAGATGTGTAAATTCATGTATGCACTTAACTGGGTGTGAAACGCTTAAATTTTTGTTACTTTGGATTCCTTATAGTGTGCATATGGTTTAAATTCATTTTAATTTGCCCTTGGCGTTTTGGACAGTTTTTCCGTTATGACCTAACGAAGTGGAAGGATGAGGCTTTTGGCATCTTGAAAAGTATTGCTAAGCTTGAAAAAGAACATGAGATGAAAAAGAAAGCTGCCCAAGAACATGGGGAAGTGCTAGACCCTCTGATCTCCAAAAAGTACATCGAGGAACAAATTGAGGTGAAATATGATCACTCCCTCTCTCTTTCTTGTTTTTCCCCTTTGCTTTGTTGAAATTGGGTAACTAAAAAACATGATTCTATAAGAAATTTCTTTATGCAACAAAATTTGGGAATTTCTGTACATGCAAAGTTTCTCAAAAACAGAGGAAATGAAGACTGACCCTCATATACAGGGCAATACCAGCTAAGATCCAAAATACCTTCCTATGAGGTAGCTAATAGAAGTCATACACGTCATATAGTCTTTACAACTGTAAAACGCGACTTGCGGCACACTTGATACACCTTCTGCACTCACCTCGCGTTTTTCAAGCTACTCTAACAAATTGGTTAGGCACCTTTAATCTCAGCGCGTCACTTCGTCTCACGATCTAATGATGCTCACGAACTTTCATATATATTTTTTTTAATTATCAACTGCTTTTGTGTCTTTTTAAGCAGGACACAACTTCTTTCCCTTAACTTCGTATGTTGTTGTGATCTCCTCTTTGACAGTTGAGTATCCTCTTATTACCATTGCACACTCACCCGGGCTAAACTGTATTTTGATACTTGACTGTCCCGGTATAAAATTTTGACTGGTGCGAGTTGTTGTCATTGTCAATGCTAAGTAATTGTTGTGCGGGCCTTGCGGCTTGTTATTGTTTTTGATTTTCTTCGTTATGAATTATTTTCACATGCCATGCATGATGCATTTTGGTGTGAGTTTGCAATTTGACTATTTGAGATGATGAACTACTGTTCCCACTTGGTGAGTGATTTGAAGAGATCTGTAACATTTCACATACTTGTTTTGTTTGCTCAACTTGTTGTGGCCGCCAGATTCGAATCTTGAAGAACTCCCTTTTCCATCCCATTTTATCGAGATAATATATCATTCTTTGTTGTTTGTTGTGTGATGCTCATATTTTACTTTAGCTCTTCCATCATCTTTTATTTGTGTTTCACAACATGTTGACCACCTGGATTATCTATTTAAACAATTGTCTTTTTAACTTTTTGAAATTTATTGCTATTGATAAGTCTTGGTCTTAATGTCTAACATGACAAACATAGAAAAAAAGTTAGCAACCTACTCTAACTGAAAAGGGTAGAAAATAAAATGAACATATGATTTGCATTTCTAAAACATCATTTCTCAAGTGTAATATCAAAATTATTGCAGTTGGCGGAGCAGTTGCCCGTTGAGGGATTGCAGGAGGAAGCTACAGAGCTGATTCCTATAGTTTTCTTAGCTCCACAGACAAGACTGGTCGTGGAAGAAGTCTTGAATTTGATAGATAAGACTTGCCGTGCTGTAGTTAAAGAACGGAATGTTTTCTGGAAGCAAAATCTCGAGGTATGTGTGTGTGTCTGTAAGAGATCTGAACTAAATATCTTGTTAGGGGGGATTTAAGTAAATCTAACTTGTATTATTATTTTCACCAGTGTCGTGCCTCAGCCCGCGAGAGCAAAGGGCATCATTTGAATGGGTTGAATAAAACCCTAGATTCATTGCTCGAAAAGGTGCGTCAAATTAAGATGTTGGTAATCAATTTTATCATATTATTATCTATCGAGTATTATTTTTCTGTATAATACATATTTATATATATCAAATGGTGCACTCGATGATTAGGTTGATGCATTCAAGAGTCAGTGGGAGCAAAAGTATGCTCGGACCTTTACTCCTTTTGAGCAATCGACTCCTAAAAGGCAAAGGACAATTTAGTAGGAACTAGCAAGCTTTTGATGGACAAAGAGAAAGATTGGGTTTATGTTCAGGGTGTAGAGGCTTTTTGTTGAAGTTTGGATGAATTGTTAGTTTTATATTTAACTGCCCCGCCTCCTAATACTGATGACCTCATGTTTTGGATAAATTATTTTGTTCATAGCCTTAAAATCATCCAAGATTTGCTTATATTTGTTTAGGAAGCTCGATTTTGTCGAAAAGCATATATTAGGGTGCAATCTATGCCTAATTCTCTTATCATCATTTGTCCATCCTCTCCTTGTTGAGATTAGGACTTGAAGTTGATTCTTCACATCAGGACGTAATATTTGAATTTTCCACAATTTACTAGACTTAGTTACCGTGGTGTTGTGCTATTAGTACTGGATAATTGGATTGTATTCTCCTTCATTTATTCTCAAACTATTATGTACTTGTTTATTTATGTACTTAAAGGAATATATCATGTTTAGGATGATCAGATATTCGCTAATCGCTACAATTGAATGAAGGCTCATTTACATACTTACCTTAATGATTAATAAATATTTGTAAAAATACTAACTACAAATTTATTTGCAACTATACCTACTTGACTATACAAAATTATATTAATGCTAGATTGTATAATAGAAGAGAGAAAAAAGATTTTCCACAACCCTCTGGATAATTCCTTGAGGGATTCTTCCATAAATGAAAAAAAAAAAATTATATATGGTAAGCTAGATGCAAAATAAAGTTGAAGATAGAATTGAATTAAAAAAACCATAAAAATTATGTCTCGCTGATAATTTTTTTTATCATATACCGAAATATACTTAATATGAACCATACGAAAAAGAAAAACAGTTTATAATTGTCAATTCGTTTCAACAAAAAAAATCAGTTTACGACCACGCCGCCGCCCGCGATCATTTAGGTTCATCACCACCGCAAGTCAACATTATCGGAGCGAGCTAGACAATTGATTTATAATGTTTTCAATACATCCATTCAAGGAGTGCAAATTAAACATTTATATTTCAAATGTACGATTGTATTTTATTTTGCTTTTCTGAAATATTAGTGCGTAGCCGCATGATACACGAGTAAACTATTTTAAGTTTAATTATAAATTTAAGATGTGGGTAAATAAAATTTATAAATAAAAAAATATGGGTTAACATGTGATATCTTTTACTTATACGAGTTTGTTATAAATAAGATAAAACTATCTTGTATAAAAGAGTATAAAATATTTAAAAATACCTAAAATATTACATAACATATATAAAAGTATCTAAAATATTCTATAATTATTTTCATTGTATAATATATATACATAGTTTTATTTCTAAAATAAAAAATATTTTTTTAAAAAAGAAATTAGGGACCAGTTGACCTGGACGGGTCAAAGCCGGGTTAACCGGATTTTGATCGGGTTTGACTAGGTCAACTGTTACCCAGTCCAAATAACCCACTCAAACCGGTTCCAACTTTGGGTCTAACGGGTACCTGGTCAACCTGCTGGGCCGGTCCGAGTTGATAAACTATGTAAATAAGTAATAAAAAATATAAAATAAAAATTTATTTATTATTCTATTACTTTTTCTACGTATCCCCTTAGTATTTAACTAGTACGTACCCCGTGCGATGCGCGGGACAGAGATAATAAATGAGTTATTTTCACGGCTTTTTTCGTTTAAGTCTAAAAGAGGGTTATTATCTATTTTCTACTTCTTTTAATCAACGTTAAATCTAAAACATTAGGGTTATAAGCTTTTTTCAAATCTTTTAACCAGCATTGTTTTTTTAGTCAGAACATTAAATTTGAGCATGTTAGAGCTAGCTTATAAAATAATTAATATATGATTTCACTAAAATATTTATATTAATAAAAATTTAATTTTAGCATATAAATTTATCCCTTGATATAAGAGAAAGTAACTGTTTTACTTATTCTTGTTCACCATATATTTTATTATATAATAAAAAAGAATACTGTTAAATAGTACAGTAGAATTGTTATAAAATTATATGAATTATTTTTATTTAGTACATGGATTAATATATTTTTATGATTTGATAATATAATTATAATATATTCTTAATGATATAATGTTTACGTTAGTATAGCTAGAATGCTGGTTGCAAATAGAAAAAATAAAATCATTAGATGCAGTCAGCATTCTGCTATAAGATAAAGATTTTCTCGTTATGAGGAGATTTTTTATCATGTTCTTCTACACATCTATTAGATTAGATGCAACTAGCATTCTGCTATAAGATAAAGGTTTCCTCGGAGCGGGATGCATGTCTCATGTCATCTAAACTTTTTGATTTTTTTTTTACTTTGTTACTTTTAATTACCACAAATTTAACCGTGTGAATTGATTTACAATATACTATACATTCAATTTTACAACATACTCTACATTCAATTGATATTGATTTTCATTTGCTAATGATTTATAAAGTTTGATTATTAATTTGACCAAATATTTTGCTTATTTATTTATAAAGTTTGATTATTATTTTGATCAAACAAGAAGATGAACTTGTTGGATCAATGTTATTAATCTAAACAAACACAAAAGTTTTTCATATTATTTTTTAGTCTTTATCAGTTTGTAACGTTTTATCAGTGTACGAAATATTTTCATGATTTTTTATTTATTCCATGATTTGTATTCATTGCAGCTTTGAACAATCTATGAGAATTATTAAGCCGCCTTCTGGTAAATATGTTTAGAATTATGTGTTCGTGTCTCATAAGTCACAAACATAATGAATAACATTACAAATTATTCATTCAAACCTTTATTTATTGCAAATATATTAAAATAGTTTATAAAACCATTATATACCACTTTCAATATATTTATAAATAAAAAGTACATAAAATTTCTGGTGTTCAAATTTAAATATTTTTTATGGGCTCAATTTTAAATCATCCAGACATTTGGTCAAATGCATAAGTGTGTTCAAATTTAAATCATTGGCATTTTGTTCGATTGAAATTTAAATCATCTACCATGGTACTGCGATGTTTATAATATATATATATATACACACACACATACAATTTTTTAATAAATAATATGTGTTTTATAAAAATAATAATAATAATTCACAAGATTTTAAATGTAAAATTTAGTTTTTATTGTAATAGAAAAATCATGGTAAGTTGTACTGAAAAGGTGTTATGAGATAAAATAATTAAATAAAATATTTGATGGAAATAGAATGCATTAATTATTTTTTACTTTTCTTAATACTAATATATAGTAATATAAAGAGATGGTTGGAAAAATACAAAAATAGTAATTTTGACTTAATAAAAGAATTGTTGACTTACTAATATAAGAAATAACAATAGGCCCCACATGCCAATCAATTTAATCGAATTTTGGTAAAAAAATTGATCGGATTTTAATAACAAATCTCAGATTTTTGTAATAAATTTGATCTTATTTTGATAACAAATCTCAGATTTTGGATAACAAATCTTTTAAAATATCGATTTTTTTTTGTAACACACTTTATAGTTATTTACACACAATATAATGCTGATAATCCTTGGGATTTTTTTTTGGTAACAAATTTCACAATTTTTTCGGCATTGTTTGAAGTTAAATATTGCAGAAAAATCTCGAGATTTGATAAATGATACATATAAAAAAATTATTATCCAATCAATTCAAAAAGTCTGACCAAATTAAATTGTAACAAGCTTCATTAATTTTGGTAAACATTATGTCACATTGATACAAAATATTGATAACAAATCTTGGATTTTGATAACAAATTTGATCTTATTTATCTCGAATTTTGTTAACAAATTTGATCGATTGTGACAACAAATCTCGGATTGATAACAAATCTCAGATTTTGAAAACAAATCTTTTAAAATATCGATTTTTTGGTAACACACTTCATAGTTATTTACACACAATATATTGTCGATAATCTTTTGGATTTCTTTTGATAACAATTTTAACAATCTTTTCGGATTGTTTGGAGTTAAATATTGCAGAAAAAATCTCAAGATTTTGTAAATGATACAGTATCAAAATAAATATTATTTTCCAATCAAACCAAAAAGCCTTACCAAATTAAATTGTAACAAACTCTATTAATTTTGGTAAACGTTATGTCACATTGAAATGGCACATAATCTTCAATAATCGACAAAATTCGAGACACATACAGATAAACTTAATTTTTGAAGTCGACCGTAATCACATTATTTAGGAAAATAAATCCTACTCAACTTAAAAACCTGATGCAAATCAATTTTTAAATTTCCGTGCAGGGAATATGTTACATACACAAATGTCTATATAACCGACACCAACATTGAACCAAAAATATTCTACAACTAATACATCCCACAAAACATATTTTTTTACAAGTTTTTTCGTAAACATTCAAAATGACATTGGAGTAATCATGGATATCAAACAATATTGGCATCTATAAATCGACGATAGGTAACTAGAGGATTATTATCAATGGGCAAACAAACATTCTCAAGTGGAGGGGTGAATTTTCTTTGTATCATTTTGACTTTAGGAACTTTCTAACTTTAATGGATGTTCATAATGTTGATGAAGCCATGTTGTTTGGTACTTTATAACTATTTGTTTATTTCTTATTTCGATATTTTTTAAGCTAAAATATTTAATAAACTATATTATACATTATACATTTCAATATGATATATTGTCTTATATTTTTTTAGATGTTATTGGATTGGTTGTTCAATACAACGTATTCAAATGAAGGTTATCGAGGGAGTTCCTACCCAAATGAG